CAACAAAAGATGTGCTTCGAATCTCCGAAGTTTGATAGCACTACAAAAATCAATTACGAATTTCAATTTATTTGTGGTCCATATGAGTCAATTAAATTTGTAATCATTTTAGTTCCACTTGCCCGCTTAGGACATGAAGGGGACTCAATGCAAATTAGTGACAACCATTGATGGGTTTGCAAACTAATTTAGACTAAGATCCAAAAAGAGTCGATAAAAATCGATCTGTTTTTGCAAGTTGTTTTTGATATGGATTAAAAGAAACTTTGGTTGTGTATAGCCATTTTTTTCCACATCATGCAAAGGAGATCAAGAAATTAAGAGTAAGGTAAACATCGAAGAAAAAATAATTACTAAGACAAAAACATCAAGAAATTAAGGGCGTGTTCGGTAGAAATTAAAATTGAAAAACTAGTCGTTATTATTGACTTTTATTAGATTGGTGGGACCCAATAACGACTATAATTTCAATTTTAATTGAATTTTAATCACTCCCAAACATGCTCTAAATATAAAGAATTTTAATCACTCCCAAACATACTCTAAATATAAAGAATTTGTCAGATTATGTAAAAATTTCTCTCTCTAAACTCTTAAATGCCATCTAAATTGTAAAATGTTCTCTTTAAAAATAAAGTCACTCAGAGATACTCTAGTAACAATCCTTATTATGTAATTTGCAAAAGTAAGCGATGATAAAATTTTATGGTGACTGTCAATTCTAACTACTTCTCGATATGTTTGAGTTCTTGCACAAACTTGTCATGCAAGACGATCTTGAAATATTTTCCAAATGTTTCTTAAACCCTGTTTGGTACATATTATTTTTTTCATTCTCATTCTTCTACTCATTTTCAACCACACATTCTTCAATAAAATAATATTTTCCATCACATCAATAAATTTTCCTTCATTTTTAACCACACATTCTCCATCAATCTACTATTCAATAATACATTCTTTCAAAAGAATGTGTCCCAAACACACTCTAAAAATGTATTTGATTCAGAAACATCAACTA